CTGCACTTTATTTCGAATGATATACAACTCTTGAGGGGAAGGCAGTCAGGCCCAAGATCAAACCCACATCAATGGTGGTACATGCAAACTCATTACCTTTAACTGACCGCTGTTTATATTTTGCCACTTTTTAGCAAACACGTGCCTGCTACCATAATGTAACACATACTTATTGTCAACATTTCCTAATTCAATTATCCTTTCCTTTAGGTAGGAGGTATTGGTTGTAAGAGGCAGTATAATATGACACACGTCTTTCTTTGTTTTATTTTGGATTCATAATTTAAGGTCTTTTTTACATTCTGTCATTTTCAATTCATCAAAACAAGGACATAAACTACACGAGCCCACCAAACTTTTAGTACTTCCTTAGTTTTAGTAGGCTAATATAAAAATATTGTTGCCTGCTCAAATCCTCTGCTCAGGTGGCAGGTTGAGTTCACCAGTCTGGAAATTGCCTGGTCCAGTCCAGGCTATATCACTTACCAACAGTTGTGGTATGTCGGGTGGAATCAGCTGAACATCCTGTACGTATGCTTACATCCACCCCTGAAGAATGTGATAAAGAGCAGCAGATGCCAGTGGTAAAAGTTGTCATGCTTGCTAAATTTGTTCAGTGTGGTGAAAGTTTCTGTGCAAGAGCATGAGACTATTACAGTCAAATTAGGAAGATGGCAATTTGCAAATGTCACCATTGACTGAAAACAGTACCTGCTATTGCTATTGCCATTGCGTCACAAAACAATGACCCGTGCGTTCTGGCTGCTGATTACTAGTGTTGGCAGCCCAAGGAGGTGTTAGTGATCATTGACTAGTGATACTGATCATTGACAAGTTTAACATGTCATTGGTAACATCCGAGATCTGCAGTGTGTTTCAGGCTCTTAAAGAAGAGGATGGTTTGATGATCCAGGTATCATAGGAAGATGCATGTGTTTTGTTAATGTCTTCCAGGGCTGATAAGTAGGAATTGTAAACGCAGATCTGGATGAGTGCAAATTGTGTTTTCTGACATTGGAGAAAAAAATGGGGAACAAATGAGCAATGAGTCAAAGAAAAAAAAAGACTGCATTATGAAATAATTCATAACTACTATTTCATTAAATGTATAGTTCCCTAAAATAACGCCTATTTAGATGGATTACAGCTATTAAGTTAATTAAATAATTAGCGCAACATTCTAACTCAGAACTCTGGCGGAACAAAAATCAGAAGATACCCAGACCTCCAGGAACTGAGTTTGAGACCCATAACGGGAAACCTGTTTTAAAAAATAACATACAAATTTAAGCAGTTGTACTTGGCATAGCAAGTGAATGTGTCTGAGGCCTTTCCTTTTCCAAAAGTCACTATTTTCTACTGATGCACAGTGTTTAAAGCCAAAGGCCAATCCAGATGTACTACTCTCTTCGGGAACTCCATGCTTATCATTTCCATTTTGAGATTCCTTTCAGTGGACTACAGTACTTTAGGAGAGCAATAAAATCACCACTTTCTCATCCAGCTGACCTTTGAAGTAAAAAAAAAACCTGGTTCCAGGTCAAGAAAACTAATTTCTTCTTAACCTTTCAAGGCCACACCAGACTGCTACTCACTGCACATAGCAGTGTGCCTTTTAATGTGGTGAAGAGCTCATGTTGAGAGGGTTTCATCATTTGGTTTAGCCAATTTGGTTCATGCAGAACAAAGTTTTTTTTTTAATGCATGCACGGAGCACAGAAAACAACTAAGACCAGAATACCATGAGGTAGCCATTCTGCAAATACCATCAAGGGTTTCCACATAGATGATTATATTTTGTTTTTTTTAAGTCAGACAAAAACCTTTAAAACTAGAAGCAAAGTACTGTTTTACTTTGTAATTAGTCATTTGTTTTTTTTCCAAGTTTGTTTACATCTTTACATTCATTTGGTATTGCTTTCCAATCCTATTTTATGCAGTACTTTGTGTTTTTCTAATTATAAATCTTTTAGTGTGACAGCAGTAGAACTGCAAATACCATTTCCTTGTCTCTCTATTGTTTCAGAAAAAAACACCAGAAGTGTCCCACACTCCAGGCATTGTACTAAAGCTGTTTAGCACAGTCTTCTGAGATTTAACGCTGAATTTCATCACCTGAATGACATAACCTGCAACTGCATGTTATTCCAAACGGCCCTGTAACACAGACCTGTCATTCATTGCACGTTATTACATATTTTCTACTTGGCCAAGCTTGTATGTTTCTCTCTGCAATGTCTTGACAATCTGGGGAAATGGGAATTCATGGCAAGAACTGTTGTAAACAGGGAATTGTTTTGCTTAATACTTAAAGAAAGTGAACTGTTGCAAAGCAGAGGGGAAAAGAGTCAAAGTCACACATTTACAAAGGTTCCCTCATTTCTCCATTCACAGGTCTACAGTGTCATTTATTTGAGTGAGCTGCAAATTTAATGCTTGTGGGAAGAACTGAGGACAAACATCTTGCCATTTTGCTGACAATCAATGCATCATTCTTTGACAGACTATTAACAATCTGTTGACCTATGTAAAAACTGGAGTTTTCGAAAGAAAAAAAAAGATTTTGTGTCTGCCTATTGATAAAATCTTCAGTCTGCAAAGATACACAAGCATATTGGATTTGAGAACTGCACATCGTCAATATGTGACTTAAAGCCAATGAGTCCTCTTTCAAAGAAACAGTCTATTTTATATTTCATGTTTCTCAATGTTCTATCAGCCAAGACCCCTGCCATCCCCCTTGTTTTCTGTTCTGCATCTGGGTGACATGAATGATAATTGTGGAACATTTACAGTCCAGATAAGCTTCAGTTTCCTTTGCTCTGCAATCTTTTTGAAGTTGCAGTCAGTTTCTTGATAAATAATAATCTAATCTCAGTGAGGCATAGCCCTGGAATAGCACAAAAGGAAATATTACAGCACATGTATAAATTGCTGCATGGCTAGGTCATCATTTGAGGGCTCCATATGCTACAGAGAGCTGGTTTGGTCAGTCACTAAGGACTTTTTTTGGATAGTGCCTTTATAATATTATAAACCTTTCAATTCAATTTCCCACTGTACAGTACATGCACTGCATTGCTATTAAAATCTGAAGACATCACTTCTCCTGTCACTGGCTGCAAGCTGTAACTGATGTATTATTCTATCATAAGGGTACAGCCTCAAAACACATAGCACTGCTTGATTGATGCAGAGGAGAGATCAAGTTAAAGATGAGATGTATAGTGTCTAAGAATCGTGTTGGTCTTGCATATAATTGTACTACGACAAGAAAAAATGCCAAAGCAACAGAGGGCAATTTATCTCATTCTCATTCTCAAGTCTAGACTAATTATCAGTCCCTTCAGTGAGGAACTATGTCCAAATTGTTGTTCATTAACTAATTTTTTACTCAAATTTTCTGCCAAAAGTGACTTATACGCAAGGTAGTGACACGGTAACATTGATCAAGATATGTCTTGTCTATGCCAGTTTAATTTGTATTTTCAAAGATCATCCAAGTTACATTATATTCCAGAAGCCTAATTTTAAGACCAATACAAAATATAGTGTACTGTTGGTTCCATATTACTGAGTAATCTAGTCAAATTGCATGTGCTGTACCTGCTGATTGTCTTATACTGGTAAGTCAGAGATAGGTGGGAATGAAGACACTATCCAAACCACTCATATTTCTGTAATTTGTTTTTATTTTGTATTTTGATTTATTCAGGAGGGAAACCTGAAGCTAGTGTGAAGAGGGAGCAAAGGTTCTTCATGAGCTTCAAGTGAACACAGAGCTGTATGTTTTTTCTCACTGAAAGTGCTGGCACAAAAATGTAGATAGCTGCCACAAAATGAAAGATTGGACTATGTCAGGCTTAACAGTAATACATACTGTATGATAAGATACCAAATTTTACAAAGCTCAGTGTTTTCCTCCATATTTTTCTAAAATATGACATTTTTTACATTAAAAGTCTTCTGTCAGGTACTTGCCCAGTCTTTTATCTTCTGTAAGTCCTTTTGATCTACAGTGCTTGTCTCATGATTGTCATCCCTCTTCTTATGGGTGCTCTGACCCTTTCATATTTTAGTTCATTATGTGCACCTGCCCCCTGTTTAGTCTTCCATTATTTAAGCCTGTTGCTCCCACTATTCCTGGCTCAGCTTTGGGAGATGGACGCCCGGAAGCCCGCCTAGCAGCAGGTCAAGGAGATACCTGACGTCATAGGCTTCCTCATGGCATCCTGACCATCTGAGTCAAGGCTTCAGAGCGGCTAGCCTTGTTACCCTGGTTTTTATTCCCTATTTCTGTTCTGGATCCCGTTCTGGTTTTAAACCTATTTGTCTTGGATGGATCCCCCGGTTTCTGGACTCTGGACTGTGCCCCAAATTCCCCCCTTGGGCTGTCTGGATTTGTTTGCCTGTGCCATGCCCCCCCCCGAGCAACGGATCACCACCGTCATGCACCCCTGTCTGTCATTCCGCCCTGATCTTCTACGTCTTTTCCCTGTTGACCTTCTCCACTTACCTCCAGATTATACCGTCTGCACAGGCCTACTTCATGTTCTGCTAGATCTTGATCATCTGCTCCACTGCTGGAGTGAGACTCGATGACCCTGCACTGTGTAGTAGGATGTCACACAATGGGACTCCACTTATGATGTGATGGCAGAGACTGTTAATGCAGATCTGTGATAATATTCAGGTTCCTGATGTGAGGCCAGAGAGTGCCCCAAAATTGTAGGTGGTAAGAGATGTGGTGTCAAATACTAACCAGAGGTAGTTTGTTCTCCTACTAACTTGGCTGCCTAATGCCAGAGTACCTTGAGCTGGACGATGGAATTGATTCTGCAATAAATGTTAGCTGCTGCATGATAGCAGCAATGGTCTAAAGTGTATAGAGGCTTTGCCTCGGAGCACAAGGTGATGTACACAAAAGCTGAAATAGTGCTCTCAGAGGTGAGACACAGAATCAACTCAGCTCTGGTAAAGTCCTTCTTTTTTTTTAACAGGGAGTCATCTGACAGAGACGGAAGTCAAAGAAAGAATGGGGCTCGGAATGAAAGAGTATACCATCCGGGAAGGGAATAAACCAGCAGCTAAATTGCTTTAGTCTGTGGGACGCATGCACACTCGATGTTGTCAAAGAAACTGAGTACAAAAATACAGTCTTTAACCACAAGCCACAAAGAAGCGAAAAGAGTTTAATCTGTGTGCTATGCCATTTCTCGCAGACACTTTGGGGTACTCTGATACAAACTAAACCTATCCTGTACCCTGTTTGTGGAGGCCATTTTAAAAAATAAAAGACAATAACATAATTTTTGGATTTATGTAATACTGCCTTTCATGTACAAGAAGAGCAAAAAACCAAAGAGGACACATGGTAATATTTCACGATTTTACAAGTAAGGATGGGTATACAAAAATAAACTCTTATTGAATGAAATAAAAGTTGCAGGGTTGTTATATAAATATAAAGTATATAAATGGTTCAGTGCCACTTTAGTATATTTCCTTCACTTTCAGAGAGCTACACTTGTAAAAGTGTAGAAAAGCATTAGGACAGGTTGATGTTTTAATCCATTGCTAGTCCTCCTTTATAACCCAATTTGGCTTTGGTTTCGGTGGCAGTTTCTTGCTGCTAAATTACATGCCTTTTGTTTGTAACATTTCATACTTTGTAGACAAGTATTCAATTAGAATTTCAATTAGCTACTAACTACCAAATGAGCTAGTGCAGTTGGGCAAAATGACTTTCTCCCATTTGTAACCTTTCTTATGTTCTTATGATATTTTAAATTCAGCATCATTTTTTTAAATGGGACTTGGTAGAACTTGGCAATAGGGGAGTGTGTTAAACTAAATATTTCATATAAAGCAAAAAATAAGTCCTCTTGATTGTCTTATAATTTAAAATGAAAGGAATAAGACTTCCATTGAATACATTTTATTTTGTTTACAAAAAACAAGCTGTATACTAAAATGTCTTGTAGGAAGAAGGAAGGAATAAGAAGGAATATTAATTCTATTTTTCAAATGTAGCCCATCTATGTATATGATTATGTATACACCATATGGTTTGTGTATATAGACTGTACATATTTTTTCTGAAGTGATTTACTACTACCTTTTGAATACGTCTTTCATCACAATTGTCATTTTAGATTTCCACCCTCTACTAACATTCTTACAGATTCTACTCTTTCTCCAGTGTTTCTCATTTTAGGAAGATGCCATAAAGAAAAATATAAATTGGTAACTTTAGATGGAACCTTTCAAAAAGGCCATAATAGTACCAGCTGGAAACAGTAAGGTTCCAGTTCCACATTTTTAGGTGAACACACTGGATGTTTAGAAAAAAAGTGGAAAAAGAATCTGAAAGAATGCCGATCTGGGTACAAACCTAACTGTACAGTTTCTTTTTTATTCTTGTGTTTCTGCTCCTTATTCCGGTGTGCTCAGTCTGCCGACATAAGCTGTTGGTTTATTATGCAGCCAAATCCCTTTATTTTCAGACTAATTCCTTTTAAATTTGACTTTTATCTCTGTATTTAGTTGTCACATAGGGGAAAGAAAGAAAATCAAGAAACCAAAAATCTGTTACTTAATTGAAAAATAAACTGTAAAGGGATAATCTGAGTCACTAATAAATGTACTGTAAGTGAACTAGCAGATTACTGCTGACAATCAGTCTGGTGAAAGAATTTGTCCTGGTTTGTGTGAGGTTCATTTCAACTTTAACTCTCAGTACAATGGTTTATAAAATTCTATCCAGTCTGAATATTCTACATTAAAAACTGACAGATACCAACTTTGTTCAGACGGAGACCTGAACCCTTCAGTTCTTACCAGATGTATTTGCTTTTGTAAAAATTGTACCTGTAATAACAGTAATTAAGATTCTGCTTGCTTGTCTCTCTCTTTCTCACCAAGTGATTGACTCCGCAGCAGAGTATGTTGTTTCAATGATACTGCAAAGGTAATAGGGTGTTTAAATAACATGGTTGATATTTAGAAGATGCATTAAATCCAGCATTAAGAAACAGTTATTCCAACACAGCGACTAAATGTAAGGAAAAAGGAAAAGATTCCTTATTTTTACTACCTCTAGGGTATACAAGGCAATTACTGTTCTGAAAGCAATAAAGCAGCTGTTAATTATAGCCTTTACACTCCTGTAGCCTAAAGTGGGCAGAAAAAGGTAAAGTTTCATTTGTTAACCTTTAAGACCCGATGAAGAACAGCCCTTATTTATGCCAGGATTATGAGAAAGATTTTCAGTGGGTTGATTTCAACCAATTATGCATTCTTATTTATCTTACCCTGTTTATGACTTTGTGAATATTGTTTTTTTGTATACAAAATTGGCTCTGTGTTATGGCGATATCCAGGGAGTTTTATTTTTCTGCTGAAAAGACAACGAGATTTAGTAGCTACCCTAAATTTTCCTTTTCTTTACGGGTTTCAAGAAGAGTTTGTTCCCAGGACAGCTGGTACAGGCTATGGGCCTACAGTGAAATAGAACAAAAAGAGCATCTGAGCATCTGAGCCAAATGGCCTCTTTTCTTTTGTCGCCCTTCTGACATGAGTATTAATACCAGACACATGACTTTTTTGAAACAGCTAATTCTCCCTGTTTATCTGGAAATTTGAATATATTTACTTGTAGTACTTTCAGCAAACCTTTCTAACTCCTAGTACACTTGTATTTACTGTTGTATGACTAGAACAGTACTGTGTTGTATTACTGATGAATGGGCAACAAATTACTTTACCTCTTTAGGGAACAAATAATCCTCAGTGATTGCAATGAGTTTCTCAATTGTCATAAAAGCTGCAAGGAAATTGCAGGCTATACTGTAGTAAAGGATGTTCCTCTCTGTTCTTTATCAGACAGGAATTCAGGCTAATAAAGTTTGAGCTGTAGAACTGTCTCTTCACTGTGTGACAATTCGGAAATGAGCCTGGAATCACCAAAAACAGGAATTAGTATACTTTACTAAGAGCCTCATAAAAAAAAAAAATCTGTACAACCCTTTAGCACATTCAAAACATTACTCATCACAAACCATAGCTTAATGAAGTGTTTGAGTGGAAACATTTGTTGTGCAGTTGACAAAGTTTTTACAAAAATTCTTGCAGAATTTTAGATGGCTTTTTCAGTAAAACAGAACATATCCTCCTCTTGTCCAAGACAAAAATATGCTTACTGATCTTATCCAACGTGAATGACAATATATTGTTATGTTCAACAGTTTTGAGTGGTCAGTGTGAAACATCTACAAATTCAGATTTTAAAATCTATATTTAAAATACTATTATTAGTTTGACAGATTTAAACATAGACATACAAAGAAGTAAGCATTTCAATGTGCTTTAGAAACATGGCATTGAAATGGCACTGTGTACTTATATAAGTAAAGTATGTATTATTGGAAATAATGAAATGAAAAGGTTCTTTATATTTTCCACGTTCAAGTATTAACCACACCCCTGTTTTCTTCAGCCTTCCCTTCACTTGTTACCTGATTTTACACAAAACGTGATATTTGATCAGATATTAACAGAGACCAGAGATCCCTGTTAGCTTTATTCTGCTGAGTGGATGATGTGACCCAGTGGATGGTTTCCAGTTTAGCACCACCACAGCATATATGAAAGTACTGGGAAATCATGGTCACACATATTTGTTGCAGGTAGTAAAATCCGTGCAGAATTGGATGAAGCAAGGGGTGTGAAGAACTGCCATCTCTGTTTCCTGATGAAATCATCTGTGGAATGTGGATCAGGGTGATCTGCCTGGAGGCCCCAGGACTGGAATTGTGTTTGCAGGGACCACTTTTCCCAATGGGAAGCCTTTGTTTCAATTACACATAATGATACAGCTTTAAAATATGTTTTTGGGACTCTGCAGTGTTTTTATGGACAAGTTGTTCACATTTTGTGCTGAATGTCAGTGGAAGTCCAGTTTTTCAGTCATGTTGTAAGCCCTTCTGTTTCCACAGTTCCCATACATTCTGCTTGCTGGTAAAGGTGACAATAACAATGCCTGTTGTTGTATATGTGTATCTGAACAACATAAAAGGCACTCCAGTATTGCATCCTGTATCCCCTTTTTAGACAACTGGTCACCAAAAACACTCAACAAACAGAAGACACTGATGGAAGGACTACTTTTACCCAGAACACCGTATATAGTTGAGATAAAACACACAAACATTGTTACAAATATTTTAAAAATACAACATATCTTTAATGTTTAGTTGTTGAACTCCATCCTTCAGTTAGGAATGTTTTATTATACGTACTACTTTTTGTATACTGGATGTGTAGTAAATAAACTATATAAATCTGCTAAATTTGCTTATATAGATCTACTTTCTACTTTCAATATCTGTTTTCTTATGACCCAGAATAGAAGAGTCTCAACAGTTGGGAGATATTTAATTTATGGAGTCGGTGACCAAATGGATTAATTATTCCTGGTATATATCTGTATGTACAATATGTCCCGTTAACCATGATTCAGGAAATTCTGGTGGTGCATTTTATAATAAGAATAGAAGAAAGGCAAGCAAGGATAGAAAGTGTTAAACAAAAGATACCTGCTTGAAAATAGTTATTGATGTTGTTATTGGTATTGGTGTTATATTCTGTAGCTTTTTGAAGTTAGGTTTATTTTCCATCACCTAACCCTCCCATCCACATCACCATCCTTGTTGTTTTCAATTTCTCCATCTGGTGATATGAAATGCTGTAATTAAAACAAGGTTGCTAGGCAAAGTATAAGGCAAACCTGGCACTTCTGAGCTGGCATCTTTTTAGAGACTTTTAATCTGCACCACTGCGGTATGTTAAGCCTCTTTGCTTTTTCTTCTTTCTCTCTTTAGCCAATTGGTGCCCTGGAGAGCATGGAGGATCCCTCAGTCAATGGGTGGGACAAGAGAACAATTAGAGACAATGACATTAGCCAACACTGAAGGAAAAGCAGGGCAATGCAATGATTCCTTGATCAAGCCTGCAGAAGATTTGTTGCCCTGTGTGGGAGCTCTGTCGAGTCTTTAAAGTCAGTGGCAATGGATAATATGGGTTTTCAAGCACAGTGGTTTAAAAGAAGGCCTCCCCTTCTTAACCTTTCAGTTCAATAGCTAACCCACATATGCTCAAACACTGAGGCAATATGGTGTAAGTTTTAAAGCCCGCTTTAAAGCAGTTCTTTAATTTCACTTTAAAAAAATCTGAATTATTTAGTCATACTAGAGAAATTAAGCAGAATGAGTAACAGTTTTGTACTTTGAGATCAGTATCCACAAGCTGGTCTTTATC